ACCCCATCCCCGCCGCGACACCCGCCACCCTGCCCGAGGGTTGCCTCGCTCTCGGAAATGCCGAGCTTTAATAAAACATATATTTTTCCGAGCGAGGAAAATACTGGGGAAACTCGCAATTTGTTCTTTCACTTTATGCTCGTTTACAAGACAAAAGTGGAACATTCTGGGAACATTATGTTAATCACGTAGTTATATAGTTTATTATAATTACGAAGGCTTTTTTCGAGTAGCTAAGAAAGGGTAACGTCATAGAGTATTAGTAGCAAGATGGATATTTGTAGGTGTTAGAAGTCGTAAAGTGAGTTTGCGGGTAAAGTTAACAGTGGGGTTAGTAGTTTATAGTTGATCGGCGCAACTGTGACATTGTAACACTTAATGGCGTTGCGGTGACCCTTATCTCGCATGCCGCAGCGGCGTCGCGGGTGCGGGCGATTTATTGCGGTTCATGTAGGCACGCTGAGCTCTACAATCGACCCTTCGCCTTAACGCTAATTATTATTATACGCTTTTACCGCGTACATTGCTCGTAATAGATGTAATTATATAGTTCGATATAACCATTCAACAGACCGCCAAGAATACTAACGGAATTTTGATAAATAGCCATGAAGTTTTGGACGTAATTGCTGACGTTGCTTTCCGTAGCAAATTTTCTTCCTAAAAGAAAATGAAAAAGTAAAAAGAACTCCATTCCGCACGGAGAAATCAGGGCCTTGTTTTAAAATCATAAAATAGAGGTTCAGACTAAGATAATGTTGAAAACAAATTTATATTCCGATTCCGTGTGGTAGATTAAATAATTTGTTGCATCCAAAAAAAGTCGGCACAAAGAGTCTTAAGTGCCTTTGTAAAGGAGACGGCGCTAAGTAGCGCTGGCACACGTTGGAGAGAGAACGTAATTTCTTGAGGTGCCACGCTGACTTCGTAGCGGAAAATATTATACTAACGAAAGAAGCTCTGTCAATTAACCGAGGGAGGTTTGCGTAAGGTAAATCTTGCCAAGAGGCCTGCTGCGTTGTGAAATATTTTATTCAATGTGATTCCATTTACATTGAAATAAATTTGTATCACAAGATAACATATTTAATGTAAGTTTCCCATTATGTGAATCTAGACGGTGCCGATGGAGGTTGGCACCTGATCAGTATTCATGAGCTTATTAATGCGACCCAGGCTCCCCTCATGGGTTGGTGCGCGCACAGATTGTGCGCCCTCCATGCCTGTTCCGCCCCGCCTAATCGACTAGAAGTGATATGCCACCTGATGAATGATGATGACCTTTCACACGAAGCTAACACGAGCCAGTAGTAAATGAAAAACGACTGAACTCACTCAACTCTAGAAATTTGCCAGACAGAATATGCCAGTGCACGTATTAATTACTGAAACTCGTCACAATAAACAATTTTAAATTACATTTAATATTGAAACAGGCACGTATTGTAATATAATTACTGTAATAATAGATTGTGTGATTGCTTACGGGAAAGTTGGAAGAGTCTGTCATTAGTCAGAACCTACAATATTTTTTTTAACTTACTGTGGCAACGAAGTCAGTTAAAATTAATTTATTAAAAGAAGCCGATGTTATTACGATACGTGAGAGTTTGCACTACGTATATCGCGGCAACCGATGCTAATACATAATGCAGGCGTGTTACAGCGTGCGTCGGCCCTAAGCGGCGAGTTATGAGTGCACGTCCCACTGGATCGTGGTCAACCCACTCTGCTTACATCTAGTTATACCAGATTTACCTTCGAATTATAAATACATGCTATTTATTGTTTTCTTTAAAAAAAAAACAAAATATTATTGAATATTTTTTGATTACTTTCTAAAACATTACGAGTGACCACATTCGGGGAGAAAGTAAAATGTTTACAGTCATACAATTTATTTAATAAGTATTTATTCAATAAGTACATTAGTCACAACAGTAGAGCTCCTTGTGAAAGAGTTTGTCCACGGAAGTACTGCCACCTTACTTATTTCTGCCGTCAAGCAGTAATGTGAACATTACTGCGTTCCGGTTTGGAAGGTAAGGTGCTGGTGAAATTACAGCCACATGGGACTTGTAAATTTACGTCTCAGGGTGACGGGCGCGGCGGTAGTACCCCTAAGATTTTTGTGATTTAAAGCTCTGAGTGGCACTGCAACTGTTCTGGATAGTCGTATCGCTTACCAGCAGGCGGTACGACTTGTTCGTTCCGTCACTTGAGCCAAGCATAAAAAAAATTAAAACGGCTTTGGCCTCATTATTTACAATAAATGTGTTGGCCTACAAAAACAAGATTAATTATTATTATTATGTTTATTTTAAACTCTCGCCTCTCCCAAGGCCTAAAAGACTAATTTTGAATATTAGTTAATATTAATATTAGCTATTATTATTATTGTAATTAACAAGAAAGTCTGCTCTTAACTAACACCATTGTTAACCTGTAATTAGTTCGAAGAACAAAGATCTAGCGTACAAGCTTTAGCTTGTGTAAGGTTCAATATCATGCGTTAACATTCGCGGTAAGGGGGAAGCTTGTCGGTGTTTGCTCCAGTTGTTGACTCCTGCTACAGCCAAGGTAATAACAGAATTACAAAGCCCGGGATTTTGCCGAGACTCGGGCTGTACTCTACTTTCCGAAGTTTAAAAAAAAACTTATAGTCTAAGGTACGACTGTAAGTTTATTTTTTTTTATGTATGTTACGCGATAACTCCGGTATTTGTGAACCGATTGTCATGATTCTTTTTTGTTGGAAAAAGGGTACCTCCATAGTGGTCCCATTTCATTTTGAAGAAAATCATCCACATCTACGGGTGGCTGTTCACGCATGAGTTTCATTTCTATAAATAGCGCCTAATTTTTATTATAAGGAGCAATTATTTTAATGGTTGATTTTGTTATTCTCTAATTCAAGGCGGTTTTCTTTCTCTATATATTTTGAGTGGTGAGAACCGATTTTTATTATCTCCGTGTCAAGTCCTGTGTAGTGGCGAACTAGGCGATATTCCAATAAAACTTGGCAAATAGACATAATTCCACGTACTTTTGAGGTCGGTTTTTTTAGTACTCTGTACTGAGGTTATTCGACGTTGAATTAATAGCGCAGGTTGACGTTAGCAATAGCAACACAGAAGCGTCTAGGTAATTAGCCGAAAGCGACTGGATTTGCATGTCAAAGTGGAGGTATAATTGAACCCGGAGTGCAAATAGCCCGAGTGGAATCGAATCGAGTTAGTAGCACTCTCTGGCAGTATAGGGAAACTAGCGAACACTATCAACTGTTTCGCTGGGGTATCTATTACGACCGGCCACTATCGTTCCGAGTCTTGAGATGAGCTGTTATCGCTTACGGGAGTGTCGTTCTCCGCTCCCGCTACCGCGATACTTGCAATACACTCACCGTCAACCTCCCTTGGGATAATTCAATTAATCGTCTACGGCAAAAGCCGAGTCGAGACTGATTTCCTTCTCAGATATCCATTTACCGGCATTATTGTGCCACTCAACTTCCAATTCGATTATGTTACATTAAGACATCAAAAACATTTTGCTAACTAAATTGATATTGTGATTAAACTGCTAGTGTCAGTAATTATTATGAAAACTTTGAATATATACATTGTACATATTCTCATAGTACATCATAATTATATATATAGGTAAGATTTAGAAAAACAATCTCAAACAATTTGTTTACATGGTTTAGATGAACAGCATAAAAAGAAAACTCTTTATGAAGCAGTTGACAAGAAGTCTCCCTCTTCAATTAAAAGTAATAATTTAGCAAAAGCATTTACTTTGTAGAAAGTTCGATGTCTGAAACTCGTTTAAAATCTGAGATTCCATTCAATGTTGCGGGATAGATTGCTTAAAATACTTTCATACTTAAACGTTCTGTCGGTGGGGAAAATTGAGATGGGGTGGGGGTGTCTCGGACGGAGTCGGCAGCGAAGCGGCCAGATAATTAGATTAAGGGGAACGTGGCCGCGCTCGAGCGGTCGGCCCGTGGCTCCGGACAATGCCATCAGTCTTTAGAGCTTTCGGATTTGCGCGGCTGCTGCCGCAGATTGTGCTTGAGTTTGCTTTTATTGAAATCTTTTTACACTTTATGGGAAAGTCAATTTATTTTACTTTTATACGCAGTACATTACTTAGAATTAGTCCACACTGTGCAGATATACCACAGCCATGCCGGTGCACACTGCACACTAAACATTTTGCCAATTTAAATAATTAAGGAACAAAGACGGCATAATCAGCGCCCTTTGGCTCGACACGCGCCAGAGAGCGCTCCACAAAACCTCAAGTCTCTACCCGCTTTTCTCTCGCATTTCACAACCTGTTGACGAGTTAGTTATAGCCCAAGAGCGTGTACAGTACGGTCCGAGCACAAAGCGAAACTCGCCGCTAGCGTACAAGTGAAGTAATAGCACGTGCCGCGTAACTGGCATCTGGCTTTAACTAATTTATGGCATACGAGCTACAAGATTATTTAATTACACGTCGTCCGCGTGTACAATGGACATTCTGACTACATAAAAACAAGAATACGAAAATTTTACTGATCAGTGTTCTGAATGTTATGATTAATTTTTTATAGGCATGACAGATCGACTCTATAGTGGCGTTGAAGGTTTTAATAAATGCATACTTTCGTATAATAATGGATATTCAACAATTAGAAACGAACAAGAAAATAGATTATAGTAGCAAAACAATTTGTAAACAGGTAGAGAGGACACGTCCGCGTGTCACGCGAGATTAATCCCCGACTCGAGCGAGTCCGAGCGGGTAATAAACCGGGTAAAAACCGGGAACGAGCAACTTTGCCACTTATATTACACGGACATTTATTTCTTGCGCTCTGTTTCAACTTTGCCAACTCTCAAAGAGCCGAGGAGTTGGTGACTGGTTTAATTAATTTACTCAATTCGTAAATATCTTCCATGTCAGCTATGCAATTTCTAGATAGTGAATAATATAAAAAAAACACTTGCCTTGTCGTCGTCGCCTTCACTATCACACTGCAAAAGGAGAAAAGTTTACATTAGCCACAAGTGTTTACAGATTAACTATCTTAACCGCGCATGCAGAGTCAATTAAAAGAACACGTTTGCCGCCAGGTTTGTTAATTGTATTCAAGAAAACCATTTGTAAACCAACAACATTACGAAATAAGTAATTACTAATTAAGGACGCGTACGTAATTATAATAGCATGTAGATCAAGAGTTAATTATTCTCGCTATTAACAATCCAACGAATACCTCCAACCAACACCAGCCCACCTGCATGCAAAGCGATGTTCATATCAGTCACGATTAGCTTATGCAATACAAATGCAATGTAAGTACGTAGTGTAGTGCTCGTAATACATCATTATAACTTATACGTTTTTCTATAGTAATTTCATATCCTCATCTTGCTGTACTTTGAAGCTTTATAGAACAAAGCTATTGTACATTTGAAATAAATTCGTCGTTACGAGACAAGAAGACTGTTATCGCATCATAAAATCAGCGAATACGTTCCGCTATATTTACGAGGTAGATTCCAGCCGAGGGAAACAACAAGGGATCAGACTGAGATATTACAATTTCAAATAAATACACAACATGAAGTATTCAGGGCGGGCGCAGGTAATGTTATGTAGTACGGAGCGGCACCGCTTCGACAAATCTCGTGATTTAGCTGCGATACGCGCCGAATATCGAGCAGCACCACGCCACTGCGCCGACTTGGGCTATGTGTGTTTCGTGATCAGGGTAAATTTACACACGGTAATCGAGAATTATAGACACCATACAGTACCTATTTATCTTTCACCAAAGTTAAAGAATACTGCCACCAAATAAAAAAAGACTTATGATAATGATGTCATAGCGAAGAGTATTATGCAACTTGTTAACAACAAAACGATCGTTTAGAGAAGCGTAGTCAAGTGGATGTTGCGAGACATGCTAGTAAGGAACACGGTATACTAGACAAGGACAACAATGAGTATACTCACGATATAGCCTTTTCCGGAACTACAGCGGCTACTGGCCTGTAGGCAGGAGAGAGAAAGCGAACATATGAGTGGACTGGGGGAGGTGAATATGTCTCGTCTCTCCCTCGACTCGACGCCGCTATTTGTTGTCGGCGAATGTGAGATTGTGCACGGAGTGGAAACTCAACCCCTCTTAACTTTTTAATTTGACTCGCAAATCTGGCCTTGTTGCATTTAAAAACTAGATGTGCTTGCTTTATGACAATCATGTATGAACATTGCGTAAAGAAATTAAGAAACGGCTACATATTCACGGATTAGGAGAGACGAGATATTGCAAAATAAACATAGGACAACAACGAACTATTCAATAAACATTCACAACATATAGTGAAATCTACATGCATCAAAGTGTCGCTCCACGTCATACGCTTGTTACAATAAAAGACTAATTAATATAGGTACACGCTTGCGAACGAGACCGTCAATCTCGAGGAACGCGATATAAGCTCGCGTACGATAAGAAGTTTTCTCATAAGGTGACTCTTTGCAGGTAAGGAGACAAGAAAAGTTAAAAGGAGGAATTTTACTGCCGCTTCGTATAGACGTTGTAGATGTTAGTTTGGGAAGTGCACCGGATGTATACGGTAAAGTTGGAGAAGGTTGTGTAAGACGGGAAAAATGCAAATTATAAATAACTTACGTCACTAAGGCGGTCACGGGAGGAGTCAGGATCGCGAGGTGCCACTGAGCTGCCCGTGAGCCGTTCTGATGCTCTCCCGCTGTCATCTGATGTGCCAGGGTCTTGAAGCAGCGTAATCCCCTGCACAGCCAAATTTATTTCAATAGTGGCACATTATGAGGATGTTGTGCATACGGGACAAAAAAGCTATTCAAGTGTCGTGAGAAGACACAATTCGACATGAGATTTTAAAGTGGAAGGAATGCTTGTATTGATACTTTGAGAGCAATTCTATTACAGAGGGGAGCAGACAGGGAAAGCTTTTATATAGGCTCACAAAATTGAGCGGTAACTAGGATATAAGAAAACTTGATAAGACGCGGCAAGGGAGAGGATGCGGGCGGGATGTGAGAGCCGAACCATAACGTAATGTGCCCGGGGCCTGACAATAAAAAGAGTTTTCCATTTATCACATTTCGCGTCTATTTTACGGTAGGGTTCGAAAGGCGCGTCTGGCGGGGAGTGATGTTGAGCGACGAGCGCTCTCCGGGACGAGTAAAAGAAAATAAAACGAGTAGTAACTTCTCTGTAAATGGATAACTCCTCAACCGCTCTCGCTCAATGAACTTCCACGTTATTATTAATTTGAAGGAACTTTGCGTCCGATTTGATTTGGCCTCCAGTTTTATGGAAAACAAAAATGAATTACTTGTTTGCGACGAAAAACGTGCTGGAAACGATTTAATATTTCATTTTCGCACAAACAGAATAATTGAATATAACTTTTTGCGCAAACAATGCTTTGATATTTATTTAACGCGTCGTAGAAACAAAATACAGTGTTAAAAGAAAACTAGTAGGTAAATTTAAAATTCAAGTAGAGCCTGGCTGCACGAGCTGTGAGGCCATTACTCGCGGCCGGTTTAGGTCTAAATAAATGGTGTCGGTTCCGGGAGTGGCTGTCGACCGGAACAAAAAACTTGAAAGAGCGTCGGAATCCAGTACGTATCTTGCGAATTTAAACCCGAGCTAACATTGATTCTATTTTAAAGGTAATAAATGATAATACTTTTATTTAACGTTCGGCCGGACACAGTGAAACTACACGTACTTTGTTAAATGCATGTTTCTATTCAATGTGTGTTTTCATAAATTAATAAGTTATGAATTTAAATGAAGTTGGATGCTAATAAGCCACAACGTGTCACACATGATCATAGTTGTGCGAAAAGGGCACGTAAAGATATTTTCGATTTTTTTTTGATGTTTGTTCTAAAATTTACTTATAAAATGGAAAGCTTTGCTGTTGCTACCTTAGGAATCATGAATTGTTGTGATTTATTATAATAAATCCCCAACAACAACAACCACAATAGCAAAAGTTTCATTTTATGGGTAAAGAAGGATGGCGAAAACTGACCCAAAATCAAAGAAGTGCCATGGACTTGGCTAGTATAGTTTTATGTTTTAGTTTATGCCTAGTTAATAATATCTTTTTGTATATCTTTAGAAGTCGGGAATAAAGAAATTGCAAAACAATGTATTTTAGAATAGATGCTAGAACACAACGCAATTGATTCAATTTGACCATAGATTGGGTAACGTTCTTGTACGTTTCATTTTAAGCATGATTGAATGTTTACCTACTTAAAGAATTGGTTATTTTATAGTACACACATAAAACATTAAAACTCTAAAATACCTAATCAAACAATCAATTAAACAATAATGACATAAAGTAAAAAATAAAACACAATGTGACAAAAATGTTTAGACAATATTTAAATGAGAAATACGAAAGTTAGCTAAGGAACGTCTTGCCAATGTCAACGTCACTTTGAGATTGAGAACAGTGTGACCATTTGTGGCAGATGTCTGCCATTTAGGCAGATTTCATTTTTATTCCTTTTCATTGCGATAGAACATGTTAACGTTGTATTAAATGTGGCAAAGTTTGGCAGATTTAGGAATATTCAGCAAGTTCTTTATTATTTTTAGGAACAAACTGAAAACTTGTTGTTTTCTGCTACTACGAACATATATCTGAAGCAAAAAACAGAACATGTTACAAACATAATCTATATCAACTTTATAACACCAGCTTCTACAGGTTGTACTCAATTAGCTTTTTTCATGCTTTGATAATGAATGACAAGTATTGATAGGTCTCTTTAATGCACGTCGTTAAAAACACTGGGTCAGAAAATACACGGGATGTCGCCATCTTTCTTTTAGAATAAACTATGAAAATCAACGAAAATATCTTTAAGTGCCATTTTCGCAAAACTATGATGATGTTGGTTAACACGTTATTGCTTATCAGCATCCAGTTGACAATTTTCAAGTTTTTGAGTAACGCTCGACTTGCAAGACAGACCCTGGATAATAACACCTTAAGTAGTCAATTTAGAGACACAATAAAAATTGAATACCTCCGTATCCCCATAACAGAACAATAAGACATACGCACACGATTATGTCCCCAATTCTAATAAAAGGGATTGCTTTCCGACCCTTTACATAGATAAACGCGTCAAACAGGTAGGGTTGCCGCATATAATTGTACACTTATTTTTGATGTATGAAAAATTAATATAGTTCAAAAATCTCGAAAAGACAGGCAATTAAATATTTAAGTAACTTTGGCATTTATTTTTACAAACCTCATCTTCGTCTAATACTCAAAGATCTAAAGAAAAAACTCCAAGGAGCAGCCCTAAAGGCACATATCAATTTAATCCGCTTCGTAGGCGTGGAGATCCCTCTAATCCCGTTCCGGGTCGTGTTGTTCGGGTTGTAACGCCGGATGTTACCACATAATTACTTTCGCTCATTACATTGCGCCCCAATTATAATGGACTTTAGCGCCTAAATGAACAACTTTCGGGGACCTCTTCTCTTGCTCCGGCTCTGTAGTAAAAGCTTAAGGAACAAATAATAATATTGTAGTCATTTCCTTGGTTGCAATGTCTTTAACATTTTGCTTGTAACATAAACGGTCGTTAGGTAAATAATGATTTCATATCTTCGATCGCACAGATGGTAATACAGCGCAATTAATATTTTATGGGTCATATCAAGCAGATGCTGCGTGATTTCGTCATGGGCCTTATTTTTAGCAAACACCCAAAAAAACTGGGTATGTAGTGATAATAAAATGTTAATTAATTAGATTGCGTACATCTCTCGCGCTCACGTATTTATTTAGGTAATGATTAATCAAAATTTATGTTCTTAATTAATTCGCGATAACCTACTCCGCACAACTACAAATATTTATTTATCCGCTTCACTACCTTATAACAAGAATAATGTTATTGTTTCAGCATTGGCATGAGCTATCAAATTTCCTCCGGCAAAACACTGGTCGATGAGCGCGGTTGATTTGTGCAGCCCACTGAATCGCTTCTTTATGGCAATCCGTTTGGGTTCGTTTCGGAGCGGCGGCGGGAGGCAGTCGTGACCGACCGGCGACACAACCGCTAATTGAAACAACGACCGCGGTCAAACATTACTTATTCATGAGAAGTCCATATGGCGGCGTAACGTGACCGACCAGATAAATCATTCAATTACATTTTTCATGACCATCGACGTCCTCGGGAAGACTGACAGACGGGTAACTATAAGTAATCTGTGTTGACGGTGTCTCTGAGTGCTTCTTATACAATAACAATCGACACGTAATAATTCTGTAATAACGTTTCGCATTGTAATCATCTCATCTACTACAATCGTAGAATTATCCGGTTGTTTATGTTGCGGTTGTCTCAAATGCCTATTTATCTCTTGCGATACGAGATAAGTGCGCAATCTTGGTGATTATTTATCAGTATCGTTAGTTAAGAGGCGAGAGCTTCGAGAGTGTGTGGTGCAGCGGTAGGTGGCAGGGTGCGGTGTCGTTAAGTGGCGCGTTGCATAATTTATTTATGTCGCGGCACGCTACTCCCACGTTGGAGCTTGTCGGCGATGCCGGAGCCTTGTTTCTAATTACTGTATACTAAATTTCTGTCGTTACCAGGCGCCGCGCATATTTAATTATACATAGATAAGTTAGTTGTCACAAAATCAGATTGCCTTTAACTTGGCAAATTAAACTACATAGTACTTTGAACCAGAAAGTGTAGTGTACGTTTCGGATTTGTCTTTGTAGATTTACTGCTGATATAACCGTGTCAGTGACGTGTACATTGCTAAAGCGTCGTATCGAGTCGGGCATCACATCACAGAGGATCAATCAGATACGGTGCGCCGCCGTCAAGCGACGTCAGCTCTCGGCTTCCAAATGGAATTTCGCGACAGACCGTTCCCGGATTAATATAGCGGCATACCACCTAGTCGGCTGCGAGGCGTACGAATGTGCTGCGATTTAATTAACGTTTCTACCGCGTCGCGATCACGGCTCGATTACCAATTAGTATTCAACGACTGTGTAGCATTCAACGTCCTTTGAGTTTTATTATTTTCCAGTCCGTTGCCTACGTCGACCGTGCTTCAGCATTATGAATGATATATTTAGACATGTTAGTATTTGAAATTTGTATCTCAGGCGAAACATTATTGAAAAAAAAACAGGCGCTTTATAACTTCGTACAATTTTTTGCACTTTGCGATTACTTCAATACAATTACCGAGGCACTGGAAGCAGACTTTTTTATCGCACATACTCATAACCCCGCACTAGGGAAACCCTGCATCGCGGGTGCCATGGACACACACATAGACAACCACAAATTACACCCTACATGGCCTACATTTATTTCTGACGTGAGTTTTCACGAGAGAAATAAATATAGGCTATACAAATATTTCTCTCGGCTCGGGAATCGAACTTGGAACCTCTGCGTGGCAGTCCAGCATGGTAACCGTTGGGCCACAGAGGCGGTTTAGATTCATGAAGTCAATCGAGAAAAAAGACAAGTTATTTTATCTACTGGTTTCATAATCAGAAGAGCAGGTACCTACCTGTATGCAAACTAAATCACAAACACGACGATTTTGCATGCAGACGACATTGTTACAGGAACGTGCAACTATTGTGATTCGATAACACGACTGTGACCAGTGTAAACTAATTTTAGAATGCATTATGTGTAAGGTGCTGTATCCACAAAAACGTAGCTAAGAAAAGCCATGTTTTT